CATTTATGTTTGTCAAAAGTTAAAATATGTATTTCAAGAACATTGAACAAGAAATTATTTAAAGACACTTACAAATTGATTGAAAGAAAAATTAATAAAAAATATAATTTAAGGAAAAATACGAATGCATTAGCATAAATTAGAGGAAAATATATACCTTCAATTAAAACAAGATAATGACACCAACATAATAGTACATTTTCCTTTGGAACAATGTACTAACCAAGGTTGGACATACTGGATGAGTTAATTAATGAGCATAACAAGTTGTCATAACAAGGCCAACTTAACAGTACATACCCCCGTTGGGCAGAATGCGCAAACCAAGGTATAAACCAAGGCTAGAACCTTAGATAAGTTAATCATTAAGTACAACATTGAGTTTTTGAAAATCCATCCCCTTTGGGCAGATAGATTCCTAGATCAATAAGCATCCAATAACTTCATCATCTACAACCTCAAAGAAAATCTGCTCAGCAGCATACACTGGCTTCATGTATTCTCCAATAACTTCATCCTAAACAAGTTCACAAGTCAGTTATAACACACAATCACCCCATTTGGGTAGGAAATTGCATGAAATAACCAATAATTTTGCAAAGAAATTTTCCCAAACCAATATAAGTAATCTCAAATGTCTAACTTTAAATGAAGTAGTATTCGTCAAAGCTATCATGGATTCATGCATTTTTATTCATGTTAAGTGTGATGTAACCCCATGACTATCAAATAACTTTTATTTTAAACTATTCATTCCAAATAATTTCAAACTAAAAATAAAAACACGAAGGATAATGTATTTATTTTTATCCAATTCATTGACCTAGAATCACAAACATAAAGATATATCTTCAAAACGTTCAGTCAAATCCAACAAGGGTTTCAAATCAAATAATAATAATAAATTTGACTAAATACATATATATATATAAGTACGTGTGTCTTTGATGTTGTGAACTCTCTTATATAACGAACAATCATTCCAAATGATTTAGAAATAAGGTCATGATATTTCCACGAAGATTAATAAACTAACAAATGTTATAATAGATAAGTGAATAAGTAAATAAATAAATAAAAACTATTTATTTATTCAAAATCAATGATAACAAGATTTCCATATGCATTGAAATCTTAGAATACAAACAAATTCTCTTCCTCCATAATCATGAAATTCCCTGTCGTAATTACTAAGAGAACCATTCAAACCATCTAAGGCAGTCAAATTGAAAATAAGGAAAAACAATAAGGAATTATGAATTTTACTAATTTGCTGTCAATACATCACACATGCTTGTCATTAGAGCTGGCAAAATGAGCCGAGCCCGCCGGGCTGGCCTGCCCCGCCCACCAAATGGGCGGGGCGGGCTGAGTTTCTCAAATCCGCTGTTCGCCAAGCCTGCCCGGGCTATTTTTTTTTTTTTTTTTTTAACTTTTAGTGTAAAATGTCACGGGCTTGGCGGACAGCCCGCCCGGCCCGCCCAAATGGGGCGGGGCGGGCTGAGATATCTAGCCCATCTTCAAAGGCGGGGTGGGTCGGGCCAATCCGCTTTTTGACGGGCTGGGGCGGGACGGGCAGCCCACTTTGACACCTCTACTTGACACGTTTCAATTCTATTAACTTTGGAAAGACCCTAGACACGTAGATATCATTCATTATTATAATTTAATATTTCAATTATAACATGAGCATGAAAACATTGAATTACCACGCACAATAATTAGTGGAATTAGGAATTAGATTTGAAATCTTAACGGTGACTTTAATTTTGAATTTCTCTCGTCAAAATTCATGATAAAATAAATTCAAAATAATATCCTGTAATTTTGGGTTTAATTTTTCCTTATTTAAATTATACATTCAAGAACACGAGGGAAACTGGTTCAATCCCAAAGATATACTCATGTTTAATCAACCAATACTGTGTCATAAATCATGTAATCTAGACTTTGATACCAAATGTAAGAAATCACAAAATAAGATTATATGAAATTAAAACATCAAAAGCGTTTAGACTTACTTGTTAACGACATAATCCTTGATATCTCAGTTGTAGTGCTTACTCCGGTATTCCTGCAAAGGTTGAAGGGCCAGGATCTTTCTCTACAGTTTACACCACTCCCTTATCACAACTGTTGATAAGGCAAGTTGTAGAGCGGTTGTTTTTCTTTTTCAACATATAAGGATGCAAAGGGGATCTAACCAAATTTATTAACCCTAGTCCCTTTCTCATCATGAGCCTATGAGTTAGGCCTACACTATTACCCACACTAATCAGTTTACAAATATTCAAATCCAAACAAAAGGATCACTGAATTAAGCAGGTTCTATACTGCACCCTCATAAGAATCACGACTTAACCCATTTTTATAAAAACAAAAAAATAAATACAATTCATTGGGGGCTACAATAATTATAAAAAATCTAACAGTATACACATATATCAAGCTATAAGCAAATGCATGAAGTGATGTTAGGTAATGGTGATTAAAATTAGTTCTATTAGCATATTAGTTATCGAAAGTCCAATTGCTGCGCCCATAAGTTAGCCCAAACTGCCTTATCTAGGAATAAAGGTCTCGAAGTCTACCATGATGCTCCTACTTGGATGTCTCCCCATCTGTTAGAAGACATTAATCACTTAGGAAGGATATCTTCCACCGTTTCCACCTATGTAGGTGTTTAGTTTATGTTGCTATTTCTTTTCTTCTTTTTTTTTTTTTTTTTTGGGCTTGATGCCCTCCACATGTATATATATATAATTAATTAATAAATCAACCAGAATATGTGACTTGTTAGTGATGTAATTAATAGAACCAAACAAAACTGACTAGTGAAGTATGATATTATTACTTACCATCAGAATCTATGATCCCTTTATCAATAAGTGCAGGGATGTTGCATTGAAAGGCAAACATAGCAGCTGATGCAGGCCAGAAGAGAGCTCCTTTGATTCCCAACTTGTTCCCAACATTCAAAGCCCATCCCATATTCACATCTGCAACTATACAGCTGATTCTATCCTCACCATACAAATGAATTTCTTCTATTTTCCTCTGAAGCATAGAAGGCATGGTGCTTAGTATAGCATCAAATAACTTGACAAAATCTGTTCTGTCATCCTCAGGTCTTAAACCATCTGGGATTGAAACCAACTTTACCAGTGATTCATCAAGGCTTTCTTGTTGCTCAACCATGGAACTCACAACTCGCTTATGGTTGAAGTCTGTGTTCACAAAATAGACTTTGCATCCATTCTCAACCAACTTTTGCGAGAAGTTCATCATGGGATAGACATGTCCTTGAGCTGGACCTGGTAAAACTAGCACACTTGGAATGCTCATGTTGTATTTCTGTTGTTTCAGAGACTCTACTCTCTATATTAGCCTGCTCAATGTAACTCTACTCATGTTGTATTTGGATGGTGGGATATATAATATAATGAACCATGATAGATGAAAACGGAAAGAGATTTACAAAAATATTACATAAAACGAAGGAGTGACTGTTCAGTCACTTTGGAGCAAAGAATAAAGCAATTATTGATGAAAAATCTGAATCAGATCTTGATGTTTCATTAGTAATATTATTTATACATCTCTTAGTGTTAATTAACTGTCACATCAAAGATTAAAGTGTGATAATTTCAAGAAATATTTTTTACTACTAGTTTTCTATATAATAACACTTTACTAGTCGTTACTGTTCTTGTCCTCTTAGTAAATGATTGGTGGCCTTCATTCAATGTGGTTGAATTTTGATTGGTGGCCTTGTGTATATAATTGGATGCTACCAATTAACTACCAACTATCCCTGCTTCGGAGTTATTTCTGATGTGAACTTCATTGGTCTCAAATGCACGTTCCAAGTGTAATCCTTATCTATTAAGGAAAGGGTTTAAATTTTCTAAAATTAGTTTAGATAATTTTATCTAATGTTTATCAAAATACACATATAAAAATGTGTGTGGCTAATATTTTGTTTTTTCTCTTCTCTTCACACGGGTTCATATGGACCCCACATATTTTTATATATATACATTTTGGTGAACATTCTAGCCTACGATTTGATGCTAACGAACAATTTTTTTCGAAAAAGGGAATCACATCTAATCACATATCACAGTGACCATAATCGTAGTCAGATTAATTTCTTTTTGGCTGAAAGAGAAGATAGAACTTCTTGTGTCGACGGTAAGATCTACCCTGAAGAGTGTGTTGCTACGCAACATAAGCTGGTATATTCCTGGAAAGATATCTGTTGTTAAATTCAGCTCTCCATTATTAAGTGCAATATGTTCTTGGCCAAGACTCTCCTTGGTTAATATTTTTACTTTTTTATATTATTCATCGATTACTCGATTTATCCGATTCGAGCTGGATAGGACCAGGACCACAAAACTCTAGCTATCATGTTTTTAACACAAATACACTGGATTCGAATTCGAGACCCTGCGTTCCCTCCTTGATTAATACTAATGATGATTTAAAAAGACCAAATTTACAAGACCCGCTATAATTGTCTTGCTCTTAAAATCACAGTTCATAATTAGACTCATTTCAGAAACTAATATTTGGCGAAGAGAATGTCATCTTTATTATTTGACTCAACAAAGTCCATTCACTAAGCTAAAATTAATCATTTTCATCTTATGTTTTAATGCCAATTCAATTATATTTAATCATAATTTAACTATTATAAAGAAAGCATGCCATACAACGATTTCTTTATGAAAATGTCACGGTTCCAATTAGGGAAATATGAAAATTCAAATAAGGAAATGGATATAATTTGCAAATTAAACTGAATTTGCAAAAGCAAACAAGCTATATGGCCAATCCTCATTCTTTCAGCCACTTGACAAACCTGTTAAAATTCTCTGAAGAGCGACTTCCTTCTGCTATGTTGCATGTTACCTTCTCCTTTAGCATCAGGGAACTTGATCTTATGTTCTCATCACTAAGAAGTTGGTCCACTTTTGTTTTTATCTCCAAGCGTGACACCAATCCATTTTCATCTGAGTCAAATCCAAGTCCAACTTTCAACTCATCACAAATGTATTTTTTGTTAAAAAATTGGTCAGAAAAATAAGGCCAGCACAAGAAGGGCACCCCATTAGAAAAACCTTCCATGGTTGAATTCCAACCACAATGGCTAACAAAACAAGCTATGGCAGGGTGCCTTAACACCTTTTGTTGTGGAGCCCATGAAACTATCTTGCCTTGACTGCCTATGAATTCATTGGGGTATGCTATCTTATTGGTACAATTGGAATCTTGACGCACAACCCAAAGAAAAGGTCTATTGGTAAGGTCTAGTCCAAGTGCTAGTTCATTGAATTGGTTTTGATCCAAAAGAGTAAAACTACCGAAGGCAACATACAACACAGTATGATGAGGTTGTTGATCAAGCCAACTCATGCAGGACAAATCTTCTTCCCAGAACTGACCAATTGATCTTGCATTTACATTTTTATTGTCATAACTTCTCAACAATGGACCAACTGGTAGGAGCTTCGGAACAAAGGACAATGCACCAGGTTCAAGTTCATACGTGGTGTTGCAAAGCCACCACTCTGTCAAATGTGTAGTTCCTGCGCAGTACTTCAAAGAATTAACTATTTTCTTAAGATTTATTGAGTCAGCCACATTCGACCAAAAAAGAGTCTCTGTGTCCATCACAGGCATAGTTGGTGATATCCGAAATGTCTTTTTAGTGATTGGTAATCCTGCAGTGAAAAACAAAACAAAATAAGCTGTAAAATACAGTGAAAAATAAATTAATAGAAACTATTTTTTCAGTTCAAAAGTTTACAAGCATGTTAGCTCAATTTAATTCTCATTCTGCGTAACTAATTCTAACTAAAAAATATTTTCTAAATGAAACATAAGCAATATATGTAAGAAATCACAAATAGGATTATATGAAATTAGAATACCTAAAGATTTAGGTCTACTTGTTGACCACATGATTCTTGATATCTCAATTGTAGTGCTTGCTCTGCTATTCCTACAAAGGTTGAAGGACAATGATATTCCTCTACAGTTCACACCAATCCCTTATCACAACTGTCGACGGAGCAAGTTGTGGAACGACTGTTTTTCCACGTACCGTGAATGCAGAGGGGACCTAGTCAAACTTGTTAACCCTTGTCCCGTTCCCATCACGGGTCTATGAGTTAGGCCTACACTGTTACTCACACTAATGAGTTTACAGATATTTAAGTCCAAACAAATGGATCACTCAATTAAGCAGACTTTATACTGCACTCCCATATGGATCATGACTTATCCTATTTTTATAAAAATAAAAGAATAAATGCAATTGATATCAACCCACAATAATTATAAAAACCCTAACATTCTCCCATCTGGGAAAAATCAAATGTGTAATTTTAATTTTTAAAGGAAAACAAGTTATGTGAATACGACTCTCGGACTAAGGACTAATTTTATAATGTGGCCACATTTTAAGAAAACACATGAGTCAAAGTGCGACATCTGAATATGACTTCATCCAACTAAAGTCAAATAACAATAAATCAGGCGGTGATTATATTCTTTACTGATGTAAGACTTTCCATGGTCACAAATGTTATTTGACTCTGTCGACTAGTCATTACTGTGGAGTGTAGCAAGAAAATAGCATGCCAATATGATCCAACAACAACCAAACTACTATTTTCTCTATTAGTCATTAAATTTCTCTCAAGTTCCTTTAAGCCAGAGGAATTTCATGGTTTATCAAAAAACCATCATGCAATCAAATATAGTGTGGTCCACGGGCCAAATGGTTCTAACAACACTCAATTTCATAGTACTATTATGTCTCGAACTCTCATATAGTGTCAACCACACACATGATGGTCCCAACGACACTGAGTTTCAAAATCTTATTATCATGCCTCAAACTCGAAAATAGTGTCAACAATAGATATGGTGGTCCTAACGACACTAAGTTCCAAAATCTTATTATCATGCCTCAAACTCCAATAGTGTGTCAACTACAGGCATAGTGGTCCCAACGACACTGAGTTCCAAAATATTTTACAATTGATAAACATAAATACATGTACTCAATATATACAATAACAAAACTCAAATCCTTATCAATTGTTCAAAATAAAATTTGTTTGTCAACCAAACTTCAATTATCCAAAATAAATGGTTGAACACGACAAGAAAATAACAACTAATTCAAACTCCCACTAATCAACTAAATCAAAGGAACTCAAAAACCCATGTTCTTCACACACATTTTAAATACCATGGGCTAAGTCTTTTGGTTAGAGAGTTGGTCAAAATGCTTAACAACAAAGTCATCCACAAAAATTAATAAATAAAATTCAAAGCCAATTAATAACAGGAGAATTTAACATTATTTTTCCATCACCAAAATAAAAATAAAATCCAATGTGATCCAAATAGGATTTGAAATTCAAAATCCTTTATGAGGGGGCCTTATAGAAAGTTTATTTCAAAACAAACTCATATCCCGACGTCAAAAACTAAGCAAATATCTCCCACCAACTCCATAATAACTTCAAGATCACAAAAAATCAATTATATCCCTCCCACTAAAAAACATGTCGAGTATACTCTTTACGTTAATTATGTGCTATTATGGACTTATGGTTGGAGCCCATGATTCCAGTTGAAATTGGGAATCATCATGGCGAAGAATGCAGAGGTTGGAAGGGAGCAAAGAAGAAAATGAGGAGGCACTAAGTGTGAAGCTCAATTTGCTTGACGAACAGCGCGAAAATGCCAAATATAAAAATATGATGGCTAAACGCCTCACTGTAGCTCAATACAACAACAATGGCAAACCTCGATCTTTCAAAAAAGGAGACTTTGTATTGAGAAGGGCGGACGTCAGCAACAAGAATGCCAAAGATGGTAAGTTCGTCAAAAATTGGGAAGGCCCACACCGGGTGAAAGAAAACCTAGAAGAGGAGGTTTATATCCTAGAAACACTCTCAAAGAAACCTATAAAGAGGACTTGGAACGCGGACAAGCTGAAGGCTTACTATAGCTAGGCTCGATGCCCGAGTTCAAGAAACCAAGGGCGAGATTCGTAATTAGGATTTACATTTTCAAGCAAATAAAACAGTCACCCGAGCTTAAACCTTGGGGACGAAATCCATAGTAGTTAGCATTTACATTTTCAAGAAAATAAGATGCACATACTAAGACCAGTCGTTGTTTTTCCATTTCTTAGGCGCTTAAGTGGGATATAACTATAAATCCTTCACTATGACGCATCCTTATGTAAAGTCTTTATCATTATCAGTGAAGGATGAATTTATCATTAATTTATCATTTGCATATGCGTTTAGAACCTTTAATAGGACATCGACTATAAAAGGCCAGGTCTGCCATGACCAATATCTCGGCGTAAAATGACTACCTCGTCCAAGAACGAGGTACAAAATGCAAGACTATAAGAAGGTCAGCTCGATAAAGAAGCCAACCATTGTAAAGAGAATTAAAAAGGTCCCGACAATGAAGCCAAACCCAAAAGTAATGACTTAAATATCGAAAATTAGAATCTAGACCATAAATATAAAGCATAACGAAAACACGATAAAATGAAAGTGCAGGATAATTAACAAGTTAAAATTCGGAAAACCCGACACTACAATTACACACCCAAAAAGGGGACTAAAGTCCCCAAAAACAAAAAGTACAAAAACTTGGGCTAGAATCTTTCTGCATCAACGCTGGCCTCAACGTCCCCTTGAATCTCGCTGAAATCTGGAATCCCAAGGACATTGGAACCATCCTTCACAATATAAGAGACATCCATACCATCGACAATGAGACCCAAGTTTAAAACCTGGGCCTGATGAATAACATTGTCGAAAGATTATATGGCCTTGTTCTCCAACATGGCCCGTGCCTCTTCATAATCAGCCTGCAGAGTTGTAAGCTCGGCTTCTTTGTTCAAAACCTCTTCAGAAAGGTTGGCCACTTTCAAATTATCCTCGGCCTTGGCCAGTTGGGAACTGAGGTCCTGAACCCTAACCTCTAAGTCGGCCTTTGACTTCAAAAGCTCTTCCCTAAACTTGGAGAGCTCATCCACCTTAGCAGAAAGTGCTGAACTGGAAGCGTTGGATAAGTTGATCCTCTGATGGAGATCCTAAAAATATTGGATCATAGAAGTCATCATTAATGACTCATCTTCCATCCGACCTAACATAGCCCGCATGTCAGCAGTAAGGGGTGAACCTCCCATCAATTGAGGAGGAGGCTTCAAGCCAGTGCAGGGACAATCAAAAACTCCAATCTTCCATAATTCCCTAGGCTCTAAAAACACAGCATCCCCAAAGGGAGCGCTGGAAGGCGGAGGCAGAGGTAGAGACGGAGTAACCTGAGAAATGACAACATGGGTAGTTACGGCCCCAGTGGTTAAACTATCACCCGCAAGGTCAAGTCGTCTTTTCTTTTGATCCTCGCCAATAGGGTCAGCTTCAATTAACTTTCCTCTAGACGAGGCCTTCTTTTTTAAAAATTTCTTATAGTCGGAGCCCATTGTATAGACTCCAAAAGGAAGTACAATCGATCAAAAGACAGTAAAAAAGACTTAAAAGAAACCCGAAAAACCCGGGATAACATGCCAAATTCTTCGAGGAGATCATCCCCAAACTTATCCACCATCCGACCTAAGTCAAGAATGACATATTCCTTGACATATGCCTTTAGGACAGTGAAACTGAGTCGCTCTGCATAAAAAAGTGAAGACTCACGGGTCGAATAATCATTTGATTGCTTGAGATAATGGTTCATACTCCAATAAAGTTCAAATCGGGCTGATAAATCCCCATCTTCAAGCATTTCAACAGTAAACCAAGGATGAAATCCAGAATGAACTGCCACATTGAAAAAGTGATCCTTAAAATTCTTAAAAGACCGGGTAAAATGATGGAAGATTCCATTTCGAGCTGTATATACATTAAATAAAAAGAAAAAGAAGGGGACCATGCATGGTAGGTGATGGGACAAAAAATCATTCTCATTCATGCCCATTTTGATGGTAAAATTCCATCCATTCCGTCAACTAGTAACCAATTTTTGGTATAAAAACACGTTCCCAGACCCTGAGAACAAAGGGAACAAATGATGATGTAATCAGCTGATAAATGAAAGAAAAAGGGAACAATTTGACTTATTTGTACACATGCTCCAATAACCTCTTCTCTGACTCCTTTGCAGGAAAGGTTGAAAAGAAGCTTCTAAAAAGAAGAAAAGGAGTACAACAATCAAGCAGGAGGAAACATGTACAGCAGAGAACGAAGTGTGCTAATTGGATTAGAGAAAAAGCAAGCATGGGGGTCTCAGAACAAGAAGGCCATTCTCAACCATAAGCCATCCCATCAAACAACTTGCTTCACTTGTCAGAGTACTAGTCCATCGCCTCTCTATACAATCAAGGAACATATGAAGAAGAATCATAAGATTGACATCCATTCTTTCAGCTTATAAATAGAAGAATCCCACACGAAGAAACCATCGAATTCCTTAAGAAAAGATCACCTAGTGTAGTTGAAGTTTCTGTATTCTGTTTGTATAGTTTTAACAATAAGCTAAGTGACAACAACTCTTTCCTCATTTCGTTTCACCATTTGAGACTCCTCACGAGCAATCTCCATACTTCTATATTTTATTTCTTTGTAGTGTAAAGTTGTTTCTTATTAATATATGTTTGTTATTTCTCTTCTCTTCTACT